TAGAATAGAATAGAATAGAATAGAATATATGGGATGGAATGGAATAGAATAGAATTAGAATAGAATAGAATAGAATAGAATAGAATAGAATAGAATAGAATAGAATATATGGGATGGAACGGAACGGAACAGAATAGAATAGAATAGAATAGAATAAGAGTTGGAAGGGACTTTGGAGGCCTTCTAGTCCACCCTCCTGATTTAATGGGCATCTTTGCCCTGACCCCCAAAACAGCCAGATGATGCCTGATGAGCAGCGTTCAGATATCCCAATTAGTTCTCCTCAGGAGTAGAGCAGGGGTAGGTTGGAGCAAGGCCCCCGCAAAACCTTCAGGCAAGGTCCCTCAAATAGTTGCACCCGTGCCATGCAGGGCTTTATAGGTAAAGTCCCCCCCTTCCTTGTGCTTGGAAGCGGGAATGGGACGACTGGCCACGGCCAACTCGCCACGAGGCCACTCGTTGCAGGACAATTTAAGGATTCTATTTCATTATTTTAAATAAGTAAAAGAAAATATTTTAATGGTTGCCATTCACCTTTCCTTCTGTCCCTCCTTTTGCATCCTTTTTCTAATGATTCTATTCCACCGTTTCTTTTATGCTACAAAGCATAAAAAACATAAAACCACCTTCCATTTCATATACATACGGTGTGTCAGTTGTTTACAAATCTTTTGTGCTATCCTTTTATAGTCATTTACTCACAGTTTATATCAATTTTCACATTGTCAAAATAACATATGCTTATATATTTATCAGTAATTAATCATCCATGACTAATCTATTTATTCCATCATTTTATATGAGATATTCCAAATTTCCAACGGTTATATATGTCTATATTGTGTTTTATATCCATCTATTAAATTTCTATCACAGAATTATCTAGTCTATTACATTACCATGTCTTTTTATCCAACCATTGATAAAACAAATCCCATATCGTATAAAATTGTTTATCTTCTTGTTCTCTAATTTCAAATGTCGATTTACTCATTTCAGCACAGTCCATGATTTTCTTAATAACTTCCTCCTACATAGGTATTTTATCGTTTTCCCAATTCTTAGCAAATACAATCCCAGCCGCTGTTAATACATTTACAATCAAATATTTCAACTCTTTGTTGTATATTTCTGGTACAATTCCCGATATTAGTGTAACTCTTGTCCCGCAGGAGTTGTCCTGTGGATGTCAGGGTTCTGAGGGATGCCCTAATTAATCTGGAGCCAAGTTTCAAAAGAAATCCATTTATGTATGAGGAGCACTTTCCGCCCTACATAATTTACTGCCAACCTATGACCCTGTTTTCCCCCTCCTCTCAGGGTGTGTCATAAATCACACTCTCCAACGGTGCATTTTCTTGCTTGCTTTGGTAACCTGGGATACAATCTGGAGAAAGGTACGCGTGAAATGTTCTTCTAGTCATAGCAACCGAGCTTCACCCCGTCAGTTCTCCACCCACCCAGCCACCTACCTCAATGGCAACTCAAGAGCAGTTCAGGAACCCTTTACAAGTTGACAGTGGAGAGTTTGCCACGGGGATTTGGCTGTGGCAAATGGTCCGAGGTCCCTTTGAAAGAGGGTGCCCGCTAGTGTTGAGAAAGCAAGGCCTTCTTCCCCCTGGGGTTGGCTTTCGGGGGCCAGGCTCACCTTCTCGTTCTCTCCGCAAAGCACGTCACCCCTATGAAGAAAGTGGAGCCCTTGGCTGTACCGTCCAAGAAGGTGGTGCTCCCTTCAGCTGCCATCAAAGAAGACTCCCAGGGCGCTGCCGCCGCCGCCGCCGAGGAAGACGATGAGATCGACCTGTTTGGCAGCGACGAGGAAGAGGAAGACCAAGAGGCTGCCCGCCTTCGGGAGGAGCGGCTAAAGCAGTACGCTGAGAAGAAGTCGAAGAAGCCGGGCTTGATTGCCAAATCCTCCATCCTTCTGGATGTCAAGCCGGTAAGTGCGGGGGCTTTTTGGACTGGAGGCCTGGTTGGCATTCCCACGTGCCCGGCCTACACTCATCCCTCCCCCTTCTGTGTTCCTCAAAAGCCGCGTGGATCCTGCACCCACCTCTTAAGGCGAGAACCCCAAATTTCATTTTTCTGCAAGTTCTCCGCCGCGGGCCGGTGCGGGGGGGGGGGGGAAAGCGGGCGGTCAGGGAGATGGGACAGCATCCTGCCAGCCGCAACGGGCTGTGTAGAGGCCTCACGGGGCGTCCACGGGGCCTGTTTTTGGCCGGCACCGTGCTACCGGGCGCTGTGGAGGCTGAAAACGTGCTGCGCAGGGGGTTCATTTTGGCCAGCAGAGGTACCGTGGGCTCGTCATTTGGCATTCCCAGGCTGGCCCCAGCCTGTGGACCTTGAGTTTCGCACCCATGCTTTTAAGGGCAGAAAAGCAGGTGCCCCCGGCTCACCTGATTGCGATCTCAGCTCTTGGCAACCACCTGCAATCCTTCCTTGCCGGCTTCTTCAACAGAGAAGATTGCAAGCAGCGATCCGCATACGGCACACCGCCTCCTTTCCCAAGTTCCTATCTTTGTGGCACACAGCAGGTCGGGGAGCTGGCGCACTGGGCCGCAGAAAGGAAGCACGGATCGTCAGGATCCGAACTCCAGCCTGCCGGTTCTGTGCACGGAGGTGAGCTGCCTGCCCTCTTTCGGCAGGCAGCTCTTTTGCTCTGAGTAAGGAGCCGCGCTTAGCGACCGCACCTGGATGAGCCAAGACTTTGGTCACTAAGTGAGGTGATTATGCGGACATCACGCTTAACCGCTCACATAAATTATGACAGTTAATGGGCAGGCTCCATTACGGTCGTAACTGGAGGAAAGCGTATAATTTGTTAGTTGGAAAAGTGGCTCCCAGATTCCTCCTGATTTTTCCATTACATTTCTGCTGGGATTTGGATATTTCTGTTGGAATTATGGAGGGGCGCGATGGCTGAGCGGTTAAAGATGCTGAGCTTGTCAGCGAGAAAACCGACAGCCTGGGTTCGAGACCCGAGGGCTGAGTGACAGGGTGAGCTCCTGTTCCTCGCTCCAGCTCCTTGCTCTACTTAGCAGTTCGAAAGCATGCAAACGTGAGTAGGTAAATAGGTACCATCGTTCCGTGCACATTTGGGATATAGATAGAGTAGAATTCTTTATTGGCCAAGTGTGATTGGACACACAAGGAATTTGTCTTGGTGCAAATGCTTGCAGTGTACATAAAAGAAAAGATACATTCATCAAGAGTCAAGAATCATCAGGTACAATACTTAATGATAGTCATAGGGTACAACAAGCAATCAAATCATACTAGGAAACAGTCAATTTAAATCGTAAGGATACAGCGACAAAGTTACAGTCATACAGTAACAAGTGGGAGGGGATGGGTAATAAGGAGTGATGAGAAGATTAATAGTAATAGTAGTGCAGACTTTGTAAATAGTTGGACAATGTTGAGGGAATTATTTGTTGAGCAGAGTGATGGCATGGGAAAAAAACTGTCCTTGTGTCTAGTTGTTCTGGTGTGCAGTGCTCTATAGCGTCGTTTGGAGTGGGGGGAGTTGAAACAATTAATGTCCGGGATCTGAGGGGTCTGTAGGTATTTTCACAGCCCTCTTTTTGACTGTTGCAGTATATAGGTCCTCCACTTAAGGCAGGTTGGTGGCAATTGTTTTTTCTGCAGTCCTAATTACTCTCTGAAGTCTGTGTCTGTCCTGTTGGGTTGCAGAACCAAACCAGACAGTTATAGAGGTGCAGATGACGGACTCAATCATTCCTCTGTAGAACTGGATCAGCAGCTCCTTGGGCAGTTTGAGCTTCCTGAGTTGGCGCAGGAAGAACATTCTTCGTTGTGCTTTTTTGATGAACATTTTTGATGTTAGGTGTCCATTATAGATCTTGTGATATAATAGAACCTAGAAATGTGAAGGTCTCCGCTGTTGATATTGTGTTGTATTGTAAGAGGTGGTCGTATGGGAGGGTTTCTTCTAAAGTCTACCACCATTTCTACAGTTTTGAGCGTGCTCAGTTCCACGATGGCCACAGGACCACAGAAATTGTCTTTGGACAATGCTGCCTCCCTCAGCCAAGCAACAAGATGAGCATCCAGAGTTGGATAGGAGTAGACAGGGGAAACGCTTGCCTTTTATTCCCGCTGACCTAAGGGACCCTGGTGGTTCCTTAACCGGGTGTGCCAAACATACCGTTTTGGACTGAGCCATTTAGGGGATCGTTGCAACATGTCTGTTGCCTTCCCAGACCGAGACTTTGCAGGGATCCTCTGTGGCAGGGGTGGGCAAACTACGGCCCGGGGGCCACATCCGGCCCGTTGGTCTTTTTAATCCGGCCCGCTGAAGATTGGTACAGAATTAAGGTTTGATGTGAATGATTGAATGATTGCATTCATTTGATTTTGACTTATAATGATAGGCATTTCGACACCAGGTGGTGGCCCATCTGTCCAATTTTAAAAGTCAGTGAGGCCCCCGAGCCAAAAAGTTTGCCCACCCCTGCTCTGAGGGCTTTCTTTGAGGCAATCTTCTGGAACAGTAAGTCAGGGTCCCCAACCACCGGGTCCCGGACCGGTACCGGTCCGTGGATCATTTCGTACCGGGCCGCCTATTTTGCTTGGGAGCCGCCATCTTGTTTCGACGGCGCTTGAGAAAGTGCTTCCGGGTGGGCTTGTCGGTCGTCGGTTGGAAAGCGGTGTTTGGGTGCTGAAGGAATCCTCGCGCCTTAGTTTTGTCGAAGGAGGGGGGGGCAGCTTCGAACGAAGAGTCGTCCCGATGGCGGTGGAGTCTCGCGTTACTCAGGAGGAGATTAAGAAAGAGCCCGAAAAGCCCATCAACCGCGAGAAAGTACAAAGGAGGAGTTGAAGGTGGCGGGGAGAAGCGGGGGACGGCTGGCTGGCCGGTCGCTCGGCTCACCTTGCGTGCTGACACCGGTACCGGTCCGTGGGTCATTTTGTGATGCCGGTACCGGGCCATGGTACAAAAAAAGTTGAGGGCCACTGCAGTAAGTGGTTCGGGAATGCTCTCGGCACGCCAGTTTCTTAATGTTCTCTCTCTAAGTGGCTTTCCGTTCCCTTTTCGCCTTTGGGTAGCTGCAGAAAGTCGAGACGCATTTGTACAGCAACATTGGAATTTAATGCGTTGGGCAGACTCTGGATGCCTCAGATAAAGTGGCAGACAAATTGCAAGGGGCTCAGTTGCTTATGCACAGCTGATGTTTGCAGGACTCCTATCCAAGGGATGGTGAAAAAGGGAATGTTTTGTTTAGCACAGAGGAGCTTCAAAATGGCAGCGGGGTGTAGGACAGGGGCCTCCAATCGTGGCCGCTTTAAGACTTGTGGACTTCAACTCCCAGAATTCCCCAGCCAGCATAGCTCTAGTCTTGTGGGGGGGGGGAACGACTCTCTGCTTTCTCTGACTGTGATTGTCATGTCCCCGTTGGAGCCTGAATCCGCAGGGGAGGATATGCCAGCGCTATGGCCGATGAAGACTGAGAGGGCAGCTTCGTTGGGTTTGGAGGAATGGGGGGGAAGAGCAGGACAGGACATCCCCGGACCCCTCGGAGGAGCGGGGGCAGAACAACCGAGAGTGGGCAGGAAGTGGAGATAAAGAACCACGAAGCTCAGGCGATGAGCAAGGACTTGTCTCCTCCTGATCCCAGAGGACGGAGAGTGGAGAGGAGGCAGGAACAGCGCAGGCCAACCCGACAGCTCGGGAGGAGAGCGCCCCGCCCCTCTTCATAAGGCACACCTGGGGACTGAGACTTAAGGAGGCGCGTTGGGAGGGATATTTGTCGGTCACAAACGCTGAATTAGTGGAGTTTGGCGTGCCATTGTCGACTTGGGGAGTTTGCTGGACTTCTTGCCTTCTTCCTTGGTTCCTGGATTCATTGACTTATTCCCTTGCCACGCTGGACTTCTTGCCTTGTGGCCGTTGTACCAACAGCGTTTTGCTGGACTGCTTGCAGCCAGAGGCTGCTGAGCGTGTGCGTGTGCGCGCGTGTGCACTTTGCTTTGGGACTTGCCAGAAACATGGGAGTGTTTGAGGGGAAAATTGGAGCGATGAAGGGGCAGTTTGAACTATCCGCTCGCTGTGCCTTGCCCTGGGTCATCACAGTGATTCGAAGTGGCCAAGAGACCCATCGCATCCGGGGCTGTGGGCAGCGGGGGAGGCAGACCGTGGCTGTCAGCATCCCTCTGCCTGGCTGGCTGGGGGAATTCTGGGTTTTGAAGCCCTCAAGTCATAAACGTCGCCAAGTTTTGAAGCTCCCAATGTTGGAGGTGACCAGGCTGAGCCTGAAGGTGGGGTCAAATGCACCCTTAGTCTGGAGACCCTACACCCTAAGTCCACCACGCCCTTCCGTCCTTGAAGTCCATTCACTGTTTTCTGCCTTGACCATGAATCAGATCAGATCTTGGTGTACCCCGCACAGAAGAAGTAAATTCACAGTGTTTTTGATCCCTATCCTTTTCTCTTGGTTTCTCGTGCCCAAAAGAGCACCATAATTTCACGCGATGACTAAATCGGTGGCTGATTAGACAATTAGCTGTCAGGGCTCCGGCAGTTACCCCCATTTAAATCGTGAGTCTCGAGCCAAAACTTCCAAAACTTAAAAAAAAAGATTTCTTGGGAGTTAACATGTCCGGCACTGCCTAGGTGTAGTCGTCTCTGGGACAAATCCTTCATTGTCATCCTTGACCCCGATTTCCCCCACCACCCCCTACGTGTATCGTAACTCATATTCTCCAATGGGACACCTCCATAGTCAAGAGTCATCCATCATGCTCTCCAGTCGCGGCAGAAACTTCGGTCACCTAGTTGCTATCTTCGAAAAGCTATTTATGGAATGCAGTTTCTGTTTCCAAGCTGCTGCACTGCTCCCCCCTTCCCTTTCTGTTGGCAACTCTAAAAAGACCAGAGAAATGTAAAATATAAGTTGACATTAGTGTCCTTTGGAGAAACAATTATTTCCCTCACTTTTCCCTTTATTTCCGCATGCAAAGCTGCCTCGCTTTTATCCCCACTTAGCTAGCTGTGTGTTTGAAGTCCCATCTTTCTCACTTCTTCCCACCCCCTCGCCCCTTCCTCGTTTCTAGTGGGATGATGAAACGGACATGGCCAAGATGGAGGAGCGTGTGCGATCTGTCCAGGTTGACGGCCTCGTCTGGGGGGCTTCCAAACTGGTCCCGGTGGGCTACGGCATCAAGAAACTCCAGATCCAGTGCGTGGTGGAGGACGACAAAGTCGGGACGGATATCCTGGAAGAGGAGATTACCAAATTTGAAGATTATGTAAGTTTTTCAAAGGTGGTTGTATTGCTGTCGGATGGGCCACCCTGAAGTTCTACCGGAGCGAGTAAAAAGCTTTTGAGTTATAAATCAAATTATAAAGGAGGGAATATCTGGAGGGAGAGGGGCTTATACCGCCAAAGGTTCTCTTGCAGAGATCAGAGATTCTCTCAAATTACCTCTGATAATCTGTAGAACGGGGATCAGTAATCTTCTCCACACACACACATATATACACACACACACACACACAAACACATACACCCCAGGACCAGTGGCCAGGCTTACTGCTGCTTTCACAGATCTGGGCATTTTGTAGTTCCTGGGTCACTTCTGGCTCTTTAGCTTTGCCTGTCTGGCTCGCAATAGATTGCTTTTATTTTGATGGTGTAAATGAGGATTCAATCACCCAGGCCAAAAGAATTCTTTTAAAAGATTAAATCATGGCAACTGGAGCAAAGTTTATTCCAGTGGAGATAGGTCATTACTCATCCAAGTAACTTCTTCGGTTAAAATAAAAAAAATTTGGGCAGGTTAGAAAGAACGGTTGGAAAAAAGACGGTTGCAGGAACTGGGCACAGCTAGTCCAGTGAAGAGAAGGACCAGGGGAGACATGATAGCAGCCTTCCAATATCTGAGGGGCTGCCCCAGAGAGGAAGGGGTTAAGCTATTCTCCAAAGCACCTGAAGGCCAAACAAGGAAGAATGGATGGAAACAGATCAAGGAGAGAGATTCAACCTGGAAATAAGGAGAATAATCAACCAATGGAACAGCTTTTGCCTTCAGACATTGTAGGAACTTCATCCCTGGAGGCTTTCAAGAAGAGATTGGACTGCCACCTGTCAGAAATGGTGTAGGGTCTCCTGCTTGGGCAGGGGGTTGGACTAGATGACCTACAAGGTCCCTTCCAACTCTGATTATATCTATTATCTGACCCATGGGCCGGAGGTCACCAACCTTGTTCCAGGGAGATTCAGCAGCCAGAAGTACATAACATTCTCTCTCCCCCAAATCATAAAAAAATCAGAGATTTTAAATTACCTGATAGATATTAGACCAGGAGTGTCCAACCTTGGCAACGTTATGACTTGGACTTCAACTCCCAGAATTCCCCAGCCAGCTTTGCTTGTTGAAATCCCCAGGTCATAACATTACCAAGATTGGACACCCCCGTTCTAGGACCGTGCATTTAAAGTGCATGCTCCTAACGTCATAGCTGTGTTTATTTATTTGCTAAATTTATTTCTCACCTATCTCCCCACGGGGGCGACTCCAAGCGGCTTACAACTATAAAAAGGAACAAAAACGAAAAGACGTGTAAACAGAACGGAAGTAAAACAGCAGAACAACAAAGTAGACATTGAGAAATCAGCCCAACTAGAGTAGATAACATCAGTGAGCTAATCACGGGTCAATTTGTAGGCTCGGTTGTGTTCCATAAACCCAGCTCCTTTTTGTGTGCCCTTATTCTAGTGTGTCATGAAATCAGGAGGGCTCAGATAGCCATTAGGGCATTTTGGTTTTTCTCCTGCAAATACCGTGTTTCTCCGAAAATAAGACCCTGTCTTGTTTTTTATTTTACTTTTTTTGCCACCAAAAAAGTGGCACCGGGTCTTATTTTGGGGGGATGCCCTCCACTGACTCACCTCACTTGTGCGTGTCACCCCCTGGCCTCCTTTTTGCCGTCAGAGGCCCTCGGGAACTTCTTCTGTGACTGGCAACGCTTTCCTGAAGGCCTCTGCAGCTGATAGGATCGATCCTGAGCTTTCTTATCGGCTCCAGAGGCCTTCAGGAAAGCCTGGCCGGCTGCAGAAGAAATGGGCCGGCGAGGTGGGTGTCAAGGTGTGCAAGGCCTGGCTACACCTGTCCAAAGGTAAGTAGTAGGGCAGCTCTACCGCTCCCCCACCTCCACCCTATATTAATTTTTACCCGTCCACTCTGGAGTGGGCGGGGTCTTAATTAGGGCTTATTTGTGGGGGGTAGGGCTTATATTGGGCACCCCGTAAAAATCAAGCTAGGACTTACTTTCAGGGTAGGTTGTATTTTCGGAGAAACGGTATTATCCCTTGCCTTACTGTTAATCTCAGGTAATGCTTCATGCATAGGATTCCGTTCCCGGTGTTGCTAACTGAATTCACCCAAGTCACTAAAAACCTTTCTTAGGGTGCTGTTTTTATTAAGGCCTTCGACGACGTTAAGTCCAACTCAGACTCAGGGTTTGGCTTAGCACACTTGTCGAATTCTTGAGTCCCAACGAGGGCCCCTCATACTTGTCCTGACTGCTGAGTTTTGCCCCCAAATAACACCCCCCCCTTTCTTCCCGGTGCCCCCAGGGTTGAGGTCTCGCCGTCACACCTCATGGGTTTTCAGCCGCTTCAAACCACGCAGTTAATGTTTTATTTTGGCCTGGCGATAGTTCAGGACTGGGAAATGGAACCAGAAGTCGTTCCTTCACTGCTCCCTTCACTCAGCCAAGATGAGGATAACGGAATCAGAGTTGGAAGGGACCTTTGAGGTCTTCTAGCTCAACCCCCTTTCTCAAACAGGACACCCTGTATTTTTACAGACTAAATGATTGTCTAAACTTGGCAGCTTGGAGATTTGTGGACTTCAACTCCTAGAATGTTAGCTCAGGAATTCTGGGAGTTGGAAGCCCACAAGTCTTCTAGTTTGAAGACCCTTGTTCTACAGAGTGAGATTCGTCCACTACCTCCGTTATGTCTCCTTGCTGGCTAGGCACATAACTAAAGAATGTATACAGGTTGTCCTTGATTTAACGAACACAATTTTATTTTATTTTTTAATTTATTCATCAAATAAAAATTACATATGCCCAATGGTTTAGACCAGGAGTGTCCAACCTTGGCAACTTTAAGACTTGTGGACTTCAACTCCCAGAATTCCAGCAAAGCTGGCTGAGGCAGAGGTCTCCAAACTTGGCCAAGTTTAAGACTTGTGGACTTCCAACTGCCAGAATTCCTCCTCCTCCAGTCATGTTAGCTCAGGAATTCTGGGAGTTGAAGTCCACAAGCCTTAAACTTGGCCAAGTTTGGAGACCTCTGCCTTAAGGAGAAGGAAGGAACTGTGTAAACCAGGGGTGTCCAACCTTGGCAACTTTAAGACTTGTGGACTTCAACTCCCAGAATTCCTCCTCCTCCTGTCATGTTAGCTCGGGAATTCTGGGAGTTGAAGTCCACAAGCCTTAAACTTGGCTAAGTTTTGAAGACCCTTGGTCTAAAGAGTCAAAGAAATGGAGGTAGTTGTGGAGGGAATGAGAAATTAAAAGATAGGAAGAATGGTTGCAGGATTTGGGTATGGCCAGTCTAAAGAAGGACTGGGGCGGCGGGAGCATGGTAGCGGTCTTCCGGTATTTGAGGGGCTGCCACAAAGAGGAGGGGGTCAACTTATTTTCCAAAGCACCAGAGGGCAGGACAAGAAACTACAGATGGAAACTAACCCAGGAGAGAAGCAACCTGGAATTAAGGAGAAACTTCCTAACAGTGAGGACAATTAACCAGTGGAACTGCTTGCCACCAGAAGTTGTGGCTGCTCCGTCACCGGAGGTTTTAAAGAAGAGATTAGACAGCCATTTATCTGAGTTGGTATAGGGGTCTCCTGCTTGAGCAGAGGGCTGGACTAGAAGACCTCTGAGGTGCCTTCCAGCTCTTATTCTGATTGAACACGGGAAAGAAAAGTGTCTCAAACGGGTACTCTTTGTGTTTGAACCATGCGCACCCTGGCCAGAGTTCATTTTAGGCATCCATGGCCCATCAGATCCCTTCTACACGCACCTCTGGATGCCTGAATGAAATTAAAGGCCTCGGGATCTCCAGGTCTCCCACCGTGCAAGCTTTCTCACCCCCGTCTTTTCTCTTCCAGGTGCAGAGTGTTGACATAGCTGCTTTCAACAAGATCTAACGGCAAACCTTTTACCCTTTCCAAAGCTAATAAATGGTTCAGAGTTGGAGAGCCACGCCGGGGCCTTCTTTTTCCCCGCGGCTTCAGAGATTGTGACGCTTCGGCTGAATTAGGAAACCGACATATAGGTGTAGCCATTGTTAGTTAGGCTTAGTATATCTTATTTTTCTTACTTTCTCTTTGGCGGTCACGGGGGAAGGTTTTGGGGCTTGCCGCAGTCCTAAGCGGGGGGGGGGGGGGGGAGATAGAGTTGTTTAGGATAGGTCAGTGGTCACCAACCAGTGGACCGGGGACCACTGGTTGTCCGCAGAGAAAGGTCAACCCCCACCCCAAAAGCAATCCAGGCTGCGTGGGAACACAAGGCTGCGCCGCCCACATGGCCCGCGGGAACACAAGGCTTGCGTCGAACAACACGAGGTAGTGAGGAGAGAGGGGAAAGGGCGGAGAGGGAGAACTTGCCCACACGCCTGGCCTGGCCACCGGGCTGCTTCTTTCCACTTCTTTCTTCTTCTGCTTTTGGCTGCACGCAAGGAAAGCAGCAAAGGTCGGTCTTTCTGTCCCTCAAACTCCACCAGAAACGAGTCTTTGGGACCCTGCAAGGCCTCCTGCTCCAAGAGGCATGACAAGTCTCACAAAGACTCCTTTCTGGCGGAGTTTGGGGGAGAGAAAGAAAGACTTTTGCGGCTTCTGCTGCTTTCCTTGCATGAAGCCAAAAGTCTCTCTCTCTCTCTCTCTCTCTTCCCCTGAGAACAGAGCTGGAGACGGTATCCTGTGATCCCAAATAAAGAAAGATCGATTGGTAGGAAAACGGGGTGGGGAATTTTCCTGCAGACTTATCTTTAGGGATTTTCCCAGGTTCTCTGGTCCGTGGGCTTTAAAATTATGAGTTTGGTGGTCCCTGAGGTCCAAAAGGTTGGTGACCCCTGTTCTAGGTGACCCTTATTCCCGTGGGAAAGCGAGCTGACCATGTTCAGGCCCTTGAGGTGGAGATTTATGACATCAAGCAACGTTGAATTTCTTCTATTGGAGAATTTGACTTGGTTTTTTTTTTCTAACTTCTAATAATGTGAGGTAATTCCAGGTTGTGTCAGATCCGGAACTGCCACGGCCTTTGCCAATTTGATGTTTTCCTAAATAAAAGAAATTGCCTTGGAAGATGGACTTTGGTTTTCTTTTTAAAATAGATTTCATCCCTTGGAACCTTGACATTACTCCAGATCGGACACAACCTGGAATTACCCTACATAATATTGGAAGTTAGAAACAACCCCGAAAAGTCACCTTCTCCAATAGAAGTAATTCAACGTGGCTTGATGTCATAAATCTCCCACCTCAAATGCTCCCTTCCAGAGTCCGCTCATTTCACAAGCGGTGTTTGGCTCCGTCCTTCTGCACCCGACTGTTGCGCCACCATGGAAGGAAAGACCCACCCTCTTCCCTAAAAAAAAAAAAAAAAAGGATTTGAGAGAGGAATAAAGTACAGGGGCTCCTCGACGTACGACCCACCATTGAGCCCCAAATTTACACTGTTAAGCAAGGCAAGCGTTAAGGGGGTTGTGCCCCCCCCTATTTTATAAACTTTCTTGCAACAGTCGTTAAGTGAATCTCGGCAGTTGCTAAGGGAGTCACGGAGTTGTTAAGCCTCCTGTTCCTGTGCAAGAAAGTGTGTTCTGTTGGCTGTTCTCAGACTCCCTTGGGGCCATTCAGGGGTTATCTAGGGGTCATAGCTGGCTCCATAGGCAAAGTACAAACCCTAGGTGTTTGAGTTAAGTTTGGTTGCGGTTTGGAAGGGGATGCAATGTCCTTAGGAGATTGTGCAACATAGTGAGCTCTGCATCTTCTAAATGGTAGTGGGTTAAAATCCCATTATGTCCCGAAGGGCCACGTCTTAATCCCGTCATCCTGGAGCCAAAGATCTTGTTTCGTAGATAAGCTGGCCCAGTCTGATGCTGAGTTTCTGTCTCCCTTAAGATTTTTAATGGACCTTTTAGGGGAAATATTTTATCCTGCCTTTTTGAATATTTCTCAAAATATTTCATTCTTCTGGGGTGGGGGGGGTCTTTCCACAATACATAATAATATTATTAATACTTAGAATCAATCACAAGAGTAATGAGATAACCATCAGACTGAACAGGTCATCAGAAAAACTAAAAAGCCAGGCTTTGCAATGCCTAATTAATCTTACCACAATTTATTGGGTAAAATCACATTGGGCTGACTTCTTCTTTCCGTTTATTCTATCTCGTCCGTGTGCAATTTATGATGTCTGTTTGCCTGTCTTGCCTTTATCAAACTCTCATAAATCCATACCTATTTTAGAAACCGCTTCCAAGTCTCCCTCGCAAAAGGGACTCTGGCCGATGTACAAATAAAATGTTTTTTTTTTAAAAAAAAACACAATACAAAAAAAATGTAAACCAGAGGTTAAAATTCAGCATGAAACGTTAATGAGAAGCCTGGCTACAGGGGTGCTATCCTGCCAACTCCTCTGAGATGTCAGGGCCAGGATTTGCAGGCTGCCCAATTCCACAGCCACTCACACAAACAAAACAAACTTTCAAATAAAAAATTGAAAGTACAGGATATTAAAAAAAAAGAAAAGAAATCAAGAACCCCCCCCAAATGCAGCCAATGAGCAACAGAAGGGGACTGATCCTCCCCCATTCTGGACCAGTACCTGGAGTAGCTACTAGGTCGGTGATGGCAAACCTTTTTGTTGTGGTGGGCTGAAAGCACATGCTTGTGGGTGCTGGCACCCACAATGCAACGCTTACCCCACCTGTGCAATGCTCCCAGCTGATTTTTGGCCCATTTGAGGCGCCTTTCGCCCTCCCGGAGGCTCGAAGGAAGCCTCTGGGAGGGCGAAAACAGCCTCAAACGGGCCGAAAATCGTCTGGGAGGTGCGCACATGCGCAGTGCAGGTGTGTTTGTGCCATAGGTTTGTCATCGTGGCACTAGGTCCTCACTTTGTGGAAAGGGGGATGCAAGTCTCCAAGGAGTGGGCCCCCTCCATGGGACCCACCCCCAGACCAGAGTGACCTGGAGGGGCCCGACTAGCTGACCTCACCAGGGGCAGGAATCAAGGAAGAGGCAGGTACAGGCAGTCCTCGACTTAAAAACAGTTTGCTAAGCGACCGATGTTACAAACACATCCTGAGCGTTTTTCACACCATGGCAGCATTCCTGTGATTTATTATTCGGCTGCTTGACAACTGACTCAGGTTTATGACGGCCACCGTGTCCTAAGCGGAAGTCATGTGATCCCCTTTGGCAACCTGACGAGCGAGCCAGATTCGCTTAACAACCCCGTGAGGAATTTCACACCTGTACTGGTTCACTTCAACGCGGTAAGAAAAATCGTAAAATGGGACTCGACTCGCATTCACACATTTCTCCAAATGGCCACCGAAAATGTCCGGGTCTTGAGTCGAGGACTACCTCGTCTCAAGAAGGCCGGGTTCTGCGAGGAAGGGGAAGGTGCGCAGTGAACCCCGGACAACTCCCACACCTGTCAGCGCAGCTATTGAATTCCCGGCAGGGGAGCCCCCTCCCCACACAGAGCAGCCGTAGCTCCGTGGGGCGCCGAGGAGCTCCGGGTGCCATCGCGATGCCCAAGGAAGGTGGGACCGTCTCCACTCCAGGGCTTCTTCCTCCGTCCCCCCAGGATCTGTTGCCATGGCCTGGGGAGGGGACCACCAACCAGCTTTCAAAGTGACAAAAGTGTAGTCTTCATTTGTCTGTTCTCTCTTCTTCATTACTTTCTTCTACTATTCTATTCTCTCTTTTCAATTCCTCTCGTTTCTTCTTTATTATTCTATCCTATCTTATCCTATTCTCTATCGTCTCCATTCCTCTCTTCTTTATTATTCTCTTCTATTATCTATGTTCTGTTCTGTTTTCTATTATCTATTCAGTTTTCTATTCTATTTTCTATTTTAATCTTTATTCTGTTTTTGGTTCTCTTCTGTTTTCTAGTGTGCTAATTTCCATTTTTTTTCTGTTTTCTATTCTATTTTTTGTTCTAATCTTTATTCTTTCTATTCTATTCTTTCTTCTCCATTCCTCTCTTCTTTATTGTCCTATCCTATTCTGTTTTCTATTCTATTCTCTAGTTTATTTTCTGTTCTAATCTTTATTCTATTTTCTTATCTATTCTCCTCCATTCCTCTCTTCTTTATTCTCCTGTTTTCTATTTTATTTTCTCTTCTCTTCAACCCTTTATTCTATTTTCTATTCTGTTTTCTGTTCTAGCTTTTATTCTATTTTCTCTTCTCTTCTAGCCTAGATTCTATTTTCTGTTCTATTCTCTAGTTTATTTTCTGTTCTCTTCTAGCCTTGATTCTCTCTTCTATTCTCCATTCCTCTCTTCTTTATTCTCCTGTTTTCTATACTATTTTCTCTTCAAGCCTTTACTCTATTTTCTATTCTATTTTCTCTTCTCTTCAAGCCTTTATTCTATTTTCTATTCTGTTTTCTGTTCTCTTCTAGCTTTTATTCTACTTTCTGTTCTCTTCTCTAGTTTATTTTCTGTTCTCTTCTAGCCTTGATTCTTTTTTCTTTTCTATTCTCCTCCATTCCTCTCTCCTTTATTCTCCCGTTTTCAGCTCTGTTCTCTTCTCTTCTCGCCTTGATTCTCTTTTCTTTTCTATTTCTCCTCCATTCCTCTCTCCTTTATTCTCCCGTTTTCAGCTCTGTTCTCTCTTCTAGCCTTTATTCTATTTTCTATTCTCCATTCCTCTCTTGTTTATTCTCCTGTTTTCTATTCTATTTTCTCTTCTCTTCAAGCCTTTATTCTATTTTCTATTCTATTTTCTCTTCTCTTCAAGCCTCTATTCTATTTTCTATTCTGTTTTCTGTTCTAGCCTTGATTCTCTTTTCTATTCTCCATTCCTCTCTCCATTCTCCCCTTTTCAGCTCTCTTTTCTCGTCTCTTCTCGCCTCGGTTCTATTTCCTCGTCCACCCTCTCCGGTTTTTTCCGGCGTGTCCCATTTCCACGCAACTCCTCGAGCTCGGGCGGCCCGCGGGCGCCCGGCTGGCGGCGCGCGGGAAAGCCGGCCCCCCCTCCCCTCCCCCCCCCCGGCCCTTCCGTTCCGGCGCTCCCGATGCGTCCCGCGCGGGGAGGGCGGGGCGTAGGGGGCGTGGCCTCCCCCCTCCCTCCGGTGGGCGGGGCTGCCCCGCGTGCCCCGGCCGGGCGCAGAGCGAGCCATGGAGGCTCGTCGGGGCTCCTCGCTGGCGCTGCTGACCGACCTCTACCAGTTCACCATGGCCTACGGTTACTGGCGGGCCGGCAGACACCGCCAGCCGGCCGCCTTCGAGCTCTTCTTCCGCCGCTGCCCTTTCCAGGGCGCCTTCGCTCTGGGCGCCGGCCTGGGCGACTGCCTGGCCTTCCTCCGCTCCTTTCGCTTCAGCCGGGCAGGTGAGGAGGGGGGTCTCAGGGAAGGGGTTGGGGGGACACCGACCCTAAGACGTAGCCTTAGAGGCATTTGCGGGGCCCCCCTCCCCGGACAAACGCCACCCACCCACCCACCCCTCCCTCAGTCCTCGCGGGCGCCCGGTTGGGGAAGCGGGCTGGCCAGGCCATGTGTTTGCAAGGGGGCGGGCATGAGAGGCTGAGCTTGGGGGGTGGGGGTGGGAGTGTCCCCAAAAGTTCTTGGGATTCCCCCCCCCCCTTTTGCATCAGCCCACCGGCACCTAGGGCCGGGGGCTCCTTTTTTATGGGGTGGGGGGCTCTTCCCTGCAGTAGGGGGGGAGGGAATCTCCTGGTGGTCTCCCATCC